GGTAAAAGCTGGATAGTTGAAAAGAAATAATCTAGACAGTTCCAACTCGCTTTCCTTCCTACAACTTTTGCAATTCGCGCCAAGATCGCACCGCTCGTGAGCCTATTGAGTCATTCAGAACACACCGAAATGCAACTTGCTAAGAGCAATTAGTTCAATGGACCTCTTGCGTCCCACTAAGGAACAGAAGGATCTTGCAGCAGCTGAAAGCTTAGTGGTGGAGCAGCGCTTGCCTAGGTCACAAGAGATCCATAAATTCAACACTAGAGCGCAAATCAAAATCAAAGGATTTAGATTTTACAAGCTGTTGCTAGTTTCTTGAGTGCTCTTAAATGAACAAGAAGAGAACTTGAAAGAGACAGAGAAGCAGCGTTAGTCAAGCCTAAAAGACCAGTATCTAATACAGTCGTTCATATAAGTAGTTCTGAACACCAATTAATATATATGTTAGTTTTGGGAAACATAACAAAAGATCTTGATGTTTTCTCGTCGTATCTAGTATAAGACCGCAGTAAGAGGGATCAGCGCAGGAACACTAAGAGTACTTGCGGTAAACTACCCTAATTCATTCCTAGATCCTCTCAGTGTGCATTCGTTCCGACCCGCGTCGAAATTACCAAAATTTGTTATATGTTGTAGGCACCAATCGAGATGGATCATCTTATCTACGAAACTGGTACCGGCACTAGACTCTTAGAATATGACTACGAGGATCGATAGCTTATTATTAGAAAATTTGAAGGATGATCGATGTCGCATACAAAAACAATCACTTCAAACAAAATTATTGAGTGCATATCCAAGTAATAATATTATCATTATTGTAAATATATGATAACAGTGAAGAGATAAGAAAGTGATGGGGTACTGACTACTCATACTCCCCTAAAGAGAAGATGTTGTCAGCAAATATACACCTCAGATAGCCTTGAAACTATGTGATTTCTAAAATTTGAAAATGAATAATTTTAAGAAATTTTACTCAAGCTAAATATCTCTCACGGTCACAGAGCTGCCGCATACTCTCATTAACTTCTTTGAAGTCACTTTTATGCTTTCGAGTACTTAGATGACTCGGCTTTAAGGGCTAATGAAAAGACTTAGCAAACAAGAATTAAAAATAAATAAGTACTTGAATTTGAACTACGTCAAAGTTCATACAAATCTTAATTTTTTTTTTCACACTACACTTTCTCAAGGTCACACTCATTAATTAAGTAAACTCGCCCAGAGTGAAAATTCTCAAGCAAACCATAAAAATCACATATGTACATATGTATGTGTGTAAGTGACTATATGCACACTTGAAAGCTAGCGCTCGTAATAATTCATAAATACTCGTTTTAGGAAAATAAACAACAACAACAAACAAAATATAGCACAGACTGATGCGGTCTAAATAAATTGGAAGCGAGAACAATAAATTCAACAAAAACACATAATAACAACAATAATTATTATTGAGTTAGAAACCAAAACCAAATGTTTGTAAGTATGTATGTTTGAATGTATGTACTATGTGAGTATGCCACTGTGCTTTTGTATGTACAAACATTTGTAGCCCAAGTACACACGTTTTTGCTCCAACGTACTCGACGACATGCCTTACGCTACATACTATGTATTCGTATGTACATAAATAGATATCGTGTTATGTACATTGCAAAAAATCTCGCTCCCCCCTCAACAACACGCCCCTCCCCCATATGACGCAAGCAATTGCTTGCGCGAGTAATTTAGAAATAGGGCACCCCAACACGCCACCGCTAAGCTAAACCCCCACCAGTAGCAACAACAAAACTAGGAATAGCACCGCGGCAGCCCAAGTGACGGCCAGTGCGACAGTGACGTCGGCCGCTTTTTAATTATCACACTTTAACAGCTGCCGCGAGAAAGCGCATTGCCAGCCAGCGCGAAAGCTTATCGCCAGTCATCGGTGAACATGTCAGTGCTCGTAAATGTACATATGTACATACATACATGTGTATGTATGTATAGTATAAAATATGTTTGTATATGATTCGATGTGTTGTAGGTGGAGGTGCAGATTAAACGTGCGCATTTTTTGCGATTCCTCTTTCGATATAAATTATTATTATTATTTCGTGTGTTTTGCTTATCTCCTTCAAAGTGGTATTAATTTTATTTCCTGCTTAAATATGTCAGAAAGCCAAATTTTGCGAAGCACTTGAACAAAACTGTATAAAATAATATTTTCTTAATTCTAAAACACAAAAGCTTGATCTTTAAGAGATTACAGTTAAGCTCATACCAGGAATAACCATAAATTATTTTGATATTTGCTTTTAGCTGAAAAGTCACACTGCATGCATACTTATGTATCGCGTTTCTATAAAAAGTGGCATAAGTGACATACATATGTACATTGTATTAAAGCATACCCTTACTACATACTCGTAAATTACGTTAAACTAAATTATCTCGAAATAACTTTAAGCTCTTAAGCATTTAGGTAAATATAAAATTTGATAACAAACTATTATTGTCATAATGGTTAGAATTGAAGCACATTTGATATTGAATGCAGTGAACGCTCGATATAACGAACTTGGAAATGAATAAGCTTTTTTTTTTGGAAGTTTCGTGCTTTCTTAGATTAGTGCGTTAATATAAAGGCCACTTCCTTGCGTTTTACGTACAATATATAAACTCTCTAAGTTGATAGGTTAATCAACTCACTAGTAATTTGAAACTGTATTGTTGCAAACGGCGTGTTCCTAGACGCTAGACTAGTATTACTATGGAGAGTTGTCACTGTTATATCTATCATATAAATAGCCATTCTTATAACCATATTGCAAGTAAATCGTATTACCCAACGAAATTAACCTTTTAGGCAGCTTACCAGTTAGCTAACTAGAAACCGCGGCACGTTGTTGACTTCACGTAGCACCTGAAACTGTCACGTACTCTCGACGAAACTCAACTTAACTCAACTCAACGAAACAAGGCAGTTTCTAGTTAGCTAACTGGTAAGCTGCCAGATATCAAACGTGCGTACCAGGACATTGGCCTATCATAAATAATCGTAAATATGTGAGTTCACTCTGGTCATGGGTCGCTGGACTCTTATCATTAGAACCTCTGACGTTAACTTAGCCCGAACCGCAGGTAACTGACCGACCTGTTTGGGTACCTGTGCTACAACTTCTCATATACAGAAATAATTTATAAAAAAACTGCCTGAAGAATGTGGCCCTGTGGAGCCGTTATACTTGTAATATCTACGTCTGCAGTTCCTAACCTTTTTAGTTTCATAAATTAATCTGAAATAGATCTCAACCCTGCACGTTTTCTATCCCATTGAGTAGAAATAATGCTCAACTGGGATGGTAAAAAAATTCGGAATATCCAAAGTTATTGTCGGCTTTGGAATTAAATTCAAATTAAGATTAATTTTTAAATTGTATGAACCCTTTGTAAAAGAAACTAGAAATATAAAGAATAAAAGAGCCTTCGAAAGCTTATAGCAAATAAAAAGAGGGATAAAAATAGAACTTTTGAAAGCTTTTGGTGAAAAAGAAAACGAAACTAAATTTCATTTTGGTGTAAATCAAAATTTTGCAAAGCAAATCAATTTTATATTTGGAAGGGATAAGAAATTTCACATAAATCGAGGTGCCATCCAATTTCAATTTCAAACATTATATATATATTAACCAGGTTCCACACATTTGTATTAAAATACATGAATTTATCACTTTAACTAGACTAGTATAAGGAAAAGAGAGAATTGGAAAGCTTTTAGTGAAAGCTCTTTATTGTGTGATTGTTTTACATTTTGGGATGAATTACAATTTTCAAAGCAAATTCGTTTTATTTTTGGAGGGATCAAAAAGCTTCCCTAAACGGAGTTGTCCTCTAATTTTAATACTAATTTTTTTGTATAAAAATTATTGTTTATTTTTAAACAGTTACTAGGTAATATATGTATATAAGATGTACATACCAATATTAAAATCCTAGGAGTATTGTTTAAATGAAACTAGAAGGAGAGATTAAGAGAGCTTTCCCACGACAGTCGGGTCTACGTAACCGGAACGGACCCGGATTTTATTTTCTGCCGCTACAACAACAACAGAGCTTTTAAAAGTTTTCAGCAAATGTCCTTTATAGTTAAATTATTGGTATAAATTATAATTGTGCAAAACAAACCAGTTTTAATTTTTCAAGGAACAAGAAATCTAAAAAAAAAGCCGAGTTGCCACCTAATTTCAATTTTAATGATTTTATATACATTTTTTTTTATAAACCAGGGTTAATATATGCTGGGTACTCTGAAATAAATCAAGTTTGTTTTTGGAGGGCACGAGAAATTTCACAAAATCTGAGTTGCCACCCAATTTTTATTTTGTTTTTATTTTATTTTATGTTTAAATTAGCATAAACCAGTTATAATTTGAACTTTACAACTTGTATGCGCATTTACTACCTTAATAAGTATTTATTAAACTGTTAGTAGCAACACTAACTACCTGTTTCTAACAAATTTTAACTGCAATATACACCCAACTTTTAATACATATTACACCACTAGGACCAACCTGAATATATGTTTATATAAATATATTATTTATTGAAAGTTTTCTTATAGCAAGAATATACCGTTTAAGTCATTGAGAGTATAAATATTCTGTGCTAAAAGTTCCAAGTACCTGTGCTATTCATATGACCTGTATACCATATACTTGTGTGAATACATACAATGCATACGGACATGGGAATATAACCCGCCAATACTGCCAGCACATTGTCCCATGTCTCACAACAAAAAGAAGACGCGCTGCTCAGCAAGCGGCAGGCATACATTAGGAATAAACTCAGCCATTACAGCTGGCAAACTATTGTTATATTAGAATTATTATAAGAATAATTATTTTTACAATTATTACAAGTATTCAAAGACACATTACAATTGTATGAGCATAACTAATGTTGTTGTTTTTGTTTTTTTTTCTTTCTTTTTGCCATACACACAGGTAAGCAACCCCGCCAGTTAGCAAAGCAACAAGATTCATATACAGCGGTCTGCCGGCCTGCCTCTCTGCTTTTTGCATTGTGTGGCTACTCAGCACATTGTTGTAGTGCTCAGCACTCACATACCCACTCGCTCACCAATCAAGCCAGCGAAGCCAACGAACAAGCAAGCAAAATCATTCAGTTAACCAACTAACTGACTGCCTTTTGGCATTTGTTGCTGTTGTTGCATTTTTTTATTTGGACGTCGCCGCCGTCGCAGTCAACGATTTTACAACAAAACGCAACTAAATACATACATACATACATACACAAATGTCGTTGGTTGAATGTGTCGATGACGATGACGCCCGAACGCTCGGATTGACTGACTGAGTCACAGCGGCAGTTCATGCCTTCATTGTTTATAGCGGAGTGTTGCTTACAAGCGCGCTGTTGTTGTTGCTGTGAATTTTGTTTGGAGCACAAACACACACACACACACACACATAGGCGCGCGCACAAGCAGAGACATACAACGAACTGTGTGGAGCTTCGCATGTGGCTAGCGCTGACGTTGGCCGGCAGTTGCATTCGACGCGCCAACGGAACGGGTCGCGTCTACAGTCTACGTGAGTCTGGCACGACGAGTGTTCGCGAGCACGCGTGTTGTTAAGGTCGTCAGCGCAAATTTTTCCGCTTAGCAATACATCGGCAGCCACAAACACACACACATATATATATGTGTGTTTGCGTGTGTATGTAGCTACGTCGATTGCCGTTTGTCGTCAGCAGCAGCGTTGTCAACGCCGTCATTACCATTGTTTGTGTATAAGTGCTTTTGGGCTGTAGATCATGCCAAATACGGGCCGGCAGTTGACAGGCTAGCACAGTGTGAATTAGAATAGAACCAAGTGACAACGAGTGCTGCTACTTTGGTTTGGCAAGAATTGAGCGTGTAAATAATTTTCCAAGTGCATGCAAAGCAAAAGCCGCAAAAAATGCATAGAAGAGTGAAAACTAAACAAAATGTGATTTTCGTAAGGATTTCGAAGTGCCCACGAGAAATAATAAAAAAGTTAATTTTTAAGTGAAAAGCGTATAAAGCAAATTCAGGCAAGCAAGTGCACTCAAGTTATCAACAAAAGTAAAGTGTAGTGCGTGCAACATTCCAGTAGCAAAGCAAAAGAACAAACAAAGCAGAGCAGAAAAAAATTTAAATAAAATAAAATAAAAACAAAATCGCGTTCACTGTGTGCGTGCATGTGTTAGTGTGCGATCATTTCATTGTGCTGTGCGCAGGCGTGCACGCCCTACCCTTACGGCAGCTGCTCCCAGTAAGCAACAACAAGAACTACAACAAAACAATAAAAGCAAATTAAAGTGTTGTTGTTGTGTGTTTCCTCCTCGTAGTTATCGAATTCAGTTTTATTTGTTTATTTTTTTGGTGTTTGTTGTTTTTGTGATTGTTTTGCGCGCGCGCTCAAATCGCTTTGTTACCTAGCGAAATGACTGATTCCATAAAATTATCCGAAATGCAACGCAGCAGTATCGAATTCGAACGTCAACGACACTTGGCCAACTGGTTTATCAAGAGTAGCCCGCACATGGCAACACCAACGAGTGTCGCCGGCGTTGCAACAACAGCAACAACAACGGCAACAGCAGCTGGTGCAACAACAGATAGCACGACAGCTACGACCACTGCGAGCGCAGTAGCAGCAACAACAACAATAAAAAACACAGCGTCGTCAACAACCAATCTAGTAGGTGAGTAAGATACCCCAGCGGTGCGCGTCGAAAATTCTTTAGAAATTAAAATGTAGCAAAAAACAAAAACAAAAAAAAATGCAACGATATTATAGGGTAGTTAAATATATACGCGACAGTTACTAGGCACACACACAAACGCACGCGCGTTGATTTATTTAGCGGCATTGTAGCGTTGCGCTGCTTTGCTTTTGGCTAGCGCTGCTCGCGCTCACCGCAACAATGTTGCGCGTTCAGCGAAAAAGACAAATAGCGAAACAGAAAAGCAATAAGAAGCCTTTCAAAGATGATGAAATGTTCATTGCAATCAATTAATCATTTTAATCGTTCTGGCAATGAAATTGTTGAACTTTTCACATGTCACGCGCTCGTTGACAATGCGCTGGGAATGCTTTAAGTGGTTAATACAGCGTTTAATAGCGCTTAAATGATGCTGCGAATAATTGCTTTCATGTGCAAAAAGCAAAAAGCAGCAATTAATTGTGTGACCGCGTAGCAGTGAAATAAATCGCTATTTTGAGTTTACAATTTCAATTTGAAATGAGTTTTTGAAATGAGTCAACGACAAAATCGACACTTTAATCGATTAATAAATACTTGAATCGGTTCGTGTAACATACATTTATTAATATTAGGACTAAATTATAAAAAGATAGTCAAATATATATTTTCATTACTTATCGATAAACGTCAAAAAAATTTTAAAAGTTTTTTGAAATGTAGACCAGTGCAGAAACCTTTGAAAATGCTAATAATTGCAAGAAATGCATAATAGGTTGAAACCCATAGCAAACGAAAGGTAAAATAACAAAAATTAAAGGAATTAATAATTTACAAGCGCTCTGAGGTAGTGAAGAGGAAGGTGATAAATTTATTATTAGTGCTAAATTATGGAAATATGCTCAAAAATATATTTTTATAACCTAGCGCAAAACTTCAAAAAAGTTGGAAAACTTCTTAGAGTGTAGGCCAGTGCTAGTGAAAATGGTAAAAAGTAAAATAAATTCATAATAGGTTGAAATCCATTGTAAACGAAAGGAAAAAAAACCAAAATGAAAGGAAAAGAAGGTGCGTATTTGAATTTTTAAGCGTTAAAAATATTGTATTTATATAATATTTCCGCAAAAATTAAACTAAATATTAAAGTAAAATTAATAAATAATTAAATAAAATTGAAATTACGAGTCCAATAAAAAAAATTATAAAAAAAGTTGTAGGTCATGTAGAGATCTCCAGCTTTTGTATCAACACCTTTTTCACATAACCTCACAATTTACTTGCATGTGAAAAATTTAAACATACGAGTTTTCAGGTATTTTACTTGAATCTTGTGCAACAAAAAATACTTCACAAAATTTTATGTAAACAAACACACTTATGTCCCAAACACACTGTATTTTTTTATTAATAAAATTGAGGGAGGAAACCTTATTTCGACTTAACATTAAAAAACTCCAAATTTTCAAACAAAAACTTTCACGTCAAAATTTAAAATTTTTAGAATAAGTCAGTAGGCTTTATGTTTGTTGAAATATATACATTACTGAGATAAATTTTCTCAGAAAATGCAAAACAAGATCCCACTAAACGATACAAAGCTTTTGTTTCTTTTTTCATCTACCTATTATTTCGTAGGAGCAGCTGGTTAGCTTAGCAGCTGTGCACTTTCTGAAAAATTTCCTAAGTAACGTATATTTTTCATACCGCTATAATCTGTTTTTTTTTTTTTGCTTTCACCAATTATCTATTAGTCTTGAAGTTGAATTCTCAGTTTAATACTTGCGTTAAACAAAAGGACAAATATGTTAGTAAACTTAATAAAAAAGAACTTATTTCGCGAAAAAAAAAATCTTTTAAGCAAATAGTAAGCGCATTTTTTACAATTTAACGCTGAAACGAATCCCGAAATTTGAGCGTGAAATCGTTCACCTTCGTCTACGCCCATAAAACTTTTTATAAAAACAAAAAATCATTTTTTCTTTATCATCAATTGAAAAACAAAACAAAATAATTTTTAAATTTGAACAATATATATAAATAATAATAAATATGTTAAATTAATTACAATTTCTAAATATTTATTTTTATTTTACTAACATTATATATGCAATAAAAAAATCGACTTTGTTGAATCATCTAAACTGATTTGTGCCCTTAATGAAGGGTACTTTTTTTGACATGTGTTTTTCCGGAAGAAATAAAACGTATATAATTTAATTGTGTCGAGAATTTTGCTTTATCATAAAGATAAGGGATTGCCATTTTGTTTTAAGAATGACTTCGGCCAAATGACCGCGACGGCTGGCTCGAATAAATTCCAGCCGAGAGCTCAATGCGCTCGCCAAAAATTTCCTTCAATAAATTGATTGTTTTATAGGCTGTAGTTAACGCCGTCCTGTTGGAACCCAATGTTGTCTACATCAGCATATATCAATTTCGGCACGAAAAACTTATTAACCATGGCTCGGTAGCGTTCCCCATTGACTGTAGCATTATGTTCGGCCTCATTTTCGAAAAAATATGAACGCTTCGCTTATGAAGCACACCAAACAGTGACTTTTTTTAAAAATATATCAGTGTCTCCATAATGGCTTGTGAATTGTCGTCACTCCAAATGCGACAATTTTCTTTATTAACGTACGCATTCAACTAAAACTAAGCTTCAGCGCTGAACAAAATATTATTTTATTTACTGTACCATTACTTTGGTAATAAATTTACACCATTTGCAAACGTTGTTGGAATAAGTCTGATCATTATGAAATGACAAACCAAACTGAGTATAAAAAACGCAACAGCTGTCAAAAAGAACAACTCCGAAAAAGTATTGTCTCATTGCAAACCACACGTCTACAAAAACCACCTTTAATTAAAATTAGTAAACATAAAAGCAAATAATTTGAAATGCTGAAAGCAAGGGAAACTCACTTTTAGTGTTATCGCACTGCTTATGGAATAGTAATTTCGAAAAGAAATTATTGCATATTAAAAATACAAGAAGCTGTCGTATATGAAAGAGGAAAGTTTGAAGAGAGGAGAGAGGAAGCTCTAACCAACTGGGCATAGTATGAATTTTTCAACAAAAGCATCTACGTTTGACTCAAATTTCTTAACAAAGGGGATACTTCGTCAAGCTTTTACATTTATTTACGCACCTTGAAAATATATATATCTAACTTGAATGCTTTATTATCACTTAAGAAAGTCTTTTGAAGTCATAAAACTTCGCTCTTGATTAATTTAATTAAAAATGCAAATGACTTGGCATTCAAACATTTTGACCTCTAACCATGCACCCACATTTTCTTTATTGTATATTAACATAACTTGAACCATACAAATATTCAACAGAAAGCTTAAGGCTTTAAAATGTTTGAACGACTTTAGCATAGACCTCTCAAAGTTCCACAAATAAACCCAACTGATAAATATTATCAAAACTACTTGCCCAAAATAGGTTAAATTATTGCTAGCGAGGAAAGATATTATATAATTATCAACGTTTCAGTGGCAAGTAGTGCAGAAATTACTTTCAGCACCTTTCAGTTAGATTGCTAGCGAAATTCTGTAAAACAAATTTTCATAATAAAAAATCTCCAACAAGCAAAATTTAATTTTAAATAATTTTATAATAGTACAAACAACTCAAATCATCTACAACTAATCCGTTGTCATATGCTTTTCATAATTTAAACATTTTTAGAAGAAAATAAAATTTACCTTCGATTTAAGAGAGCTTTGAACATAGCGAAAGCTCTTTGCATTGAAAGCTCTGAAATAGCAGAGTATCTTTTGCTAATTCCTTGCCTGCAAAGCATAAGTATAAAACCGCCTTAGAAGCAATTTGAGTAACTCGAAGCCATGACTTTAACGCCCACCAGTTAAATTAGATTTTTGCGCAAATTTTCTTGTCTAGCCAGCGCTTAGTTGAATAAAAATTTTAAACGGAATTAAAAAAATTCCTGCATTTTGCAGTTTTCCATTCTTTACTTCTGTCTAATCGAATCTTAAGTACATTACTCATTCTCCAGTCATTTATTAACGCAATTCTCCCGCCTGCCTTTTTCTTCACTTTCAGGTGGCAACCATACAAATGGCATGTCGTCGTCGTCAGCCGCCGCACATCATCAACAACAGCAATTGAATGCTAAGCATCACAGCAGTTGTGGTGGCGGCAGCAACGTTAATCCACCGCCTCCTGTCTTTTTCTTAGTCTCCAACAATGGCAACACAAACGGCAATCTTGTCAATGGCAGCAAACACAGCAGCAATGCGTCACCAGCTGCTACAGGTGTTGCTACGCCGCCCAATGCGATAAGTGGTAAGTAATTAGCAAGCAGATTTGTTAAGGTTTTATTTTTCGCATTTTGTGCCGTTTACTATTCATTTGTATTCGCGACATGCAAATGACTAATTACAACACCTACTTTGCACATTACAGCTGTCTCCGGCGGTCCGTTAGGCCATTTCGCGGCGGTCGAGGGACGCAAACCGAAATTGCGACGCTTCAACTCGCACGACACCAGCGCAAATATGTTTTCCGTGGCGGATTTCGAAAATGCGCGTCTAGCGCGACGCAATGAAATCGAAATGAAACAGCGCTTGGCACGACGCATGCGCATGAGTGCCGGCGGTGGTTATGGCTCTGCGGCCGGTGTTGGCATGAGCGCGAATCTGGCCGGTGGCAGTGGTTGCGGACTGGGAGCTAATGGCAATGGCAGCGGTGCGGGCAACTGTGGCAATGGCAGCATGTGTGGTGGCGGCGATTACTCCACCGGCGATAGCAAAGCATCCAAGTATAGCAATGAGGTGAGTGCTGAACTTGAAAAAACTTCAATTAAATTTATGAAATCAAACATTGCTATTTTTTCTTTTTTTTAGTCCCAGCACGAGCCGCTACCTGCGGACATCTTTCTCGATCGCTATTCGTTGCCGCGCGTAGTGCGTATCTCGTATAAGACGAAGTTCTCGGACGAAACGCTGCAGTCGTCTTCATCGAATGGCTCGTCCACGGCTACAACACATACCACCGGCACCAGCGCCTCGAACTCGTCGGTGAGCGCTTGTGGCATGACGGTGGCCATTAACACCGGTACCTCGTCATCGACGGCCTCCTCAAGCGGCAATGTGAATGCGCACAGCTCGGGTGCTACGAATACGAGCAGCAGCGGTGAAAGAGTGACCGCCAAGCACTCCACCTCGCATAATACAACAGCTGCTGCAGCAACTGCAGCGTCAGCATCTCAGTCAAATACAGCAATTAACGGTAACGGCAATGCCGATGCGAATAGTCGTGATCATGCCGATCACGGAGAGTTGTTCTTGCTTTATCGGCTAATACGCCTGCGTCACATATTTCACGGGCATAATGCCAAAACGGCGGCGGCGAGCCGCAAGAAAGGTGTGCTGATTCCGCAAGAGTTTCCAGGTGAGTCAAGTGAAAAACGAGCTGACGCAATGACAAGTAGTTAAAAGCAATTTCATGCCCTTCACAATTTTTAATTGAATTCATATTGGCTATTGTACTTTTAAATATACATATAAATACATACATATGTATATGTATGAGTATATGAGTCAGCGTCAAAAAGTTCTTTTTAAAGCTGATAATTTAGGTACGTACGTGTCTTTATGAAAATATGCGCAGCAAGAATTCGTTGACTAATATATCTATATGTATATATATGTTTTCTTGCTGTATATATATATAACAGTACAAAAGACAACCCTCGGTGTAATGTTGTGAAATTAAGTGTAAAACGGAAGAAGTACTGAGCCTTAGCTAATCAATGCTGAGGTCCGAAATGCTTTTAAGTGATAAGAACTAAACGAATAATTATATTAAGGATTTTCGATATTTATATAGACAGCTTTTAGCTTAACTGAGAAAGTTTATATAAAGGAATGGTGCCTCTGCTAATTTACAATGAATTTACAATTAATAATGAAATCTCCATCCTTTTTTATATTAATTGGATATGCAAATTATTTGCTAAAATTTCTTTAGACTTTATTTCATTCCATCCCCAAAAAACTGCGCCATTTTGGCAGTCAAGAACGAGTCAAACCAATTTTTGATACTCGCTTCTTATGATAACCGTATTCCAGTCAGGGCGTTCTGCATCGACCAGAACAAATCGTAGTCAGTAGAGGCCAGGTCTGTGCGCTAAGGCAGGTTGCGCCAAACTCCCCAGCTGCTGTTTTCCAAATAGTTTATAACCGCTCTCGCAACACGAGACCGAGCTTTGTCATGTTGAAAAATGATTGTCTGGTCTATGGTGAAGTCGCAAATTCCGGGCGATTTTCGGGAGTTTCAATTTAATGAGTTTTTGTTGGTAGCGTTCCCCATTAATGGTTTCAGCCGGTGTTAGAAGCTCATAATACTGTACGCCCTTCTGATTGCACCAAAGACAGCATTACCTACAGTCATGGCCAGGTTTCACATACCATTTTTACTGAATCCGTTTTTGATCACCGGTCAAAATCCAATGCTACTTTTTGAGGCGTTCGAGTATTTCTGACATGCAAAATCTTTTTTCATAAGCACATTAATATTCCAACGCATGTTTGGAATATTGGAACTATGGCATGAAAATTATGTTTAACTATCTTTTGGCCACCGCGCGAGTTTAGCTATAACCCCATAAACCCAATATAACATACTACTTGAAATAGTACTAAATGGAGCTTAGTAGTCTTTAGAACAGAATACTAATAATTTTACTGTTTTCGATATGCTACTGTTAGCTGCAAATTGCTTCTTTTAAAAATCGCAAATTTCGTAAAGGTGTTAGAGAGTGTTTACTGTTACACATCAATCTTGGTTTTGGCTAACAAGGTTCTGTGAAGTAACCCTGAAAAAAAACCAATATGAGTAAAAGCAAGCCTACTTTCAGGCCAATTTTTTTATTATTTAACTGATTGCCACATGTTGTTATAAAACATACTTCTATTTAAAATTTTTGTAATTTAAGCTTCGTGCGAAAATTCTTAAAACACATTTTTATTATTGTAATTTAATGAAGTTTTTGTCTAACAATAATTTTATAAAAAAACAAATTTCATATCTAATCATGCATATAATATAACTTAAAATAAAACGCAGCTTGCATAGTGCTCTCAGCTGTCACATATTAGTACAACAAAATTATAAAGCGGCGAAGAAGGCTCATAAACAGGTTTTTAAATAACACTCAAACGTCATTTACATAACAATTGATTTCGAATTTCAATACAGATTGAAATATTTCATTGGAAAGTAATAAAATTAGCACATTTCGTAGCAAAACATACAGACACTCGCGTAATTATCTGTGCACTGCAAGGGAATATTAATGACCTATATGTATTTTAATCAATTTTTGTTTTGTTTTTTTCTCAGCCACGATACCCATCTCAGAATTGCCCATAGTTTATGGCGAGTGGATACGGCATTAGCTTTTGAATGCAATTGGCTATCATTAATATTAAGTACTTTTGGCCAGCAACAGTAGCGCCAAACAATGACATAACGGTCGTTACATTAACAACAACAAATAATCGACGTGCCCATACACATAGTGTGTGTATGTGTGCTATATGACTGTATATGCTAGCTGGCCGATCACGATTATATGAAAAATGTAAATGTGGTGTAAAAATGGCTCATAAAATTGTATAAGCAAAAATAATAATAGCAACAAAAACAACAATAGAATAATTTCTATACAGAAGGCAATGTAAGGCAACACAGCGGCTACGATGCTGTCGTATGTGTTGAAAGGAAGCACACAACTATTGTACATATGTATGGATTTGCATATGTATGTATGTATCTTGCCACACATATGCCTGTCTGCATTAGTAGTTGTGTAATGAAAGGAAAACAATAAATGAAATGATTATGGCGGTCGGTTGGCAATGCCAAATGTCCTTCTGACAACAGTTGTCATCATTTGCTGTCAACGACTTCGATGGCAAACGGCGACGATGGCAAATGTAGCATTTGTAATGCATACAAGCACACATACATACAAACTTACATATTTACATACAGTTATTCTCTTCCAAAGCCACAGCTATTCTCACACACGCCTCATTGTTGTTGCCACCGTCGTGCTCATTGTTGCTGTTGCTGTATATTTTTACTATAATCATTAGCTTGCTTAAGCAAGTATATGTGCATGTGTGTGTGTGTGTGTAAAAAATATACAGTTTTATATGTAGTTATGGCTCGTTGTTAGCCATGATAATGCCATAATGCCAGCGTTTTGGTTAAATGCTGTAGAGCCATGTTGCCACTGCCTTCGGCGCTATTGTTTATATTTTGTTTTTGTTGTTGCTGCTGCCAGCTTCTGCCGCTATATTATTACATTAGTGTTTACACAATCGCACTTTGGCATTATGGAAGTTGTTTCTCATGTGCGCTTATCAACATACTCGTATGTACTCGCCTATGCAATGTTTTGTATATATTTGTAAAGACTTACATGTGCACATATTTACTTAATCTAAAAATACTGATATATGTGCTCTGAAGGAATGTTGAAGCCATAAGAAAATTGCACAAATACACTTTTTGAAAGTTCTAGCCGCTTTTAAATAGGCTATACATTTTTTAATAAATAAACTGTACTTTTTAAAATTTAATCTGTAAAATTTAAATTATAATATTTTTGTATTAAATTTCATTTTTCAAATATTTGATAAATAATTAAATAATTTACATATATGAGAATATTTCACAAATACTAGTATTACCCACTAAAGCGAAAAACTCCTATTTACAATCACACATTATAAATATTTTTAAAATAAAACCTAGAAAAAATGCTGCTACGGCTGCACCCTAGAACCTTTAGCAAGTGAATTTCATCTAGCATAAATGAGTGTAAAAAGATTTGCATCCTAGCTTTGATCGCACATTTTTTAGGACAGCTTTATGCTATAATGATCTGATCTGAACAATTTTTTCAGAGGTTGTATCGTTGCCTTGGACAATAACGAGTAGCAAATTTGATGAAGTCTCTTTAAATAAAAAAGTTTTCCATACAAGAACCTAACTCCGATCGTTCAGCTTGCAAGGCAGCTATATGGTATAGTGATTCGATATCGGCGATTTCGAGAAATGAGTAGCTTCTTGAGAGTGAAAAGAATATGCGCAAATATTCAAATTGATAAATTAAAAAACTGAGCGGCTAGTTCATACATACATACAGATGGACAGTCAGGCAGACGGACATGTCATTAAGTCATTAAGCTTAATATGCGTAGTTTAGGGTATAACAAATGCCATTACCATATCGATTGGCTTTCTTTAATATTACATGTTTGGCAACTTCTCATAATAAGGTTATGAAAAATTAGATAACTTTCAGTACAATTTCTTTAAACCCAAAAAAATAATAATAATTTTATAAAATTCTAATTGTGGTCACCAATGTAGCTGTAGACTTTTGCGAAAATCCGAATTCTTCTAAAATTTTGTTGACTTTAATCAGCTCTTTATATTCAAGATTAATATTTTCTTCAACTGCGTAATAGCAACTTTTTGTAGAGACCACTTTTACAAATCGTGAGTTTCATATATGTTTTTATATGAGAAGATTAATCAAATTGGATTCTAAATAAAATATAACATAAGTTATTAGAAAATATTGTTTTATGAAAAAAAACAACCATGAAATGTTTTGTAAAAGCAAAAAACCGTTATCATTCTCAGCACAAAATTGAAAAAATTGTCCAAAAATAAGTTTTTGAAAAACAAAAATTTTTTGCAAACCTTATTTTTTTAATTCACGTGATAAGCACACAAATAAAATATAAAAAAACTTGCTTGAAAAAAAAATTTTCTTAAAAAATGATTTATTCTTAAAAACTAATTTTTTTATTAAAAGATTATTAACGATAGTTTTCGTATACCCCTTTAGATATTGTCTGAAATTTTTGGAGACTACTTTATTACTTTAATTTCTGCTTTAGATAGAATGACATTAATTTCCTACAGGGCAGCTATATAAATGTAACTTTCTATTATTTTTGACACAATGACACAAAATTCTTACTGGGTATTTGTATAAGTTTAAGCAATAGAATATTGTTTGCACTACAGTGGTTTATGCTTTTTTGTTATTGTTGTTGATGGTACTTTAGTAATCGTGATGTTGCTATAGTATGCGAGATAAGCACAAAGAAAAATCCAGCTTGTTTACTAGTTTGAAAATTTATAACAGTAAAAACGCATTACATTGATAATATTCTTTTGGAAATAAGTGTATTAAAAAAGTTTAAAAAGTAAAAACAGTAAAATAATATTACCACTTGGCTATAAGGCAGAGAGCGCATAGACTTTAAAACGAAAAAATATATTAATTTGCTAAAATTATCTTTTTTTGCCGATCTGCTAACATCTCACAAGCAATATTTCGTATGCTATCAAAAATTAAAACT